TTTTACTATTTATCTTGAAAAATCACCACTGCTTATTTATTAGGACTCTTGTTCCTTTGGACATCAATTTTATCTGAGCACCGTGTGGTCTTGTTTGCTAGGTCCTTGCTCCAGCAATGGCAAATACCTAGTTTCTGCTGACAAATTTACTTTAAAAATATGCTTTTTGATTTGTTGGCTCTTGTGTGCCTTTACCAACCGTAGTTTCAGTGCTGTGGCTTCTGTGAGTGGTCTTGGCTGTGTGTTACTACAACTTGGCAACTGCCATTGAAGAGGGCTTGGCTGGCTAAGCTAGCACCACAGTGGTGAGTGCTCAGGCACAGCTATGTGGAGTCGGTAGAGGACCAAGTAACTAAACGTTAAGTAACAAAGGTTGGTTTCCGCCACCTACAACTTATGTAGGTCTTGGTTTGTTCAGCTCCACCTGCACAGGAGCCTGGAGGAGGTGGCTTGAAGGCAGCTGATGGTATTGGTGCAGCCTGGGTAGAACTGGGAGATGGCCACTGAGCATGGGCAGGGTGGGGAGTCACCTCAGGCTTCAGCCAGCAAGAGGGCTTACTCTGTGGAGTGGGGTTTTTCAGTGAATTTCACTGAACTGGAGCAGATCTTTATATGAGAAGGCACTTGTCTGATAGCAACCCTGCGCACAGCAGTGTCAGACTCCTCTGACAGATGAGAACTTGGTCAAGGAAAACACTGCCATTATCTTTGATACACAGGATAGTTGTCATTACTGTTTTTCTCAGAACTAGCGTGTTTTGTTTAAAATCATCTAGAGGCAGTTAGGTGTTACAAATACGGGGTAACGGAAGCTCACTGTTCATGTGAGAAGTGCTGGGCTGCCCAAGGGAGTCCTTCCTCCTCACAGCACATCTGGAATCCTGACCATCGTCTGCTGGCTGGAGTGGGTCTGAAAGATGCTTGGTATTGCTGTTAAAGGAGACGTAATCACTACCTATCAAGTTTCTCTTTCATAAATGATGTCTGTAAAACCTCAGACAAATTCTGGAGTTTGTGGTTTGTGGATTTAGTTATTATTGGGGAGTCATTTGTTTGGTGTGCTAAAGGTATGAGTAATTTCTTCCACGCCTCTTGGAAGTCATGAAGCAGTAGTGCCTCACAACATTGTGAGCTGACACGTACAAAAAAGTTTGGTTTCCACTATTAAGAACGTACTTGATGGGTAATGAATGGTAAGCTGAGGATGAGGATGGGTGTACCAGGCAACACAGTGCAACAGGGAGAAAGAACCTGATCTTCGAGTTTATCCATGGAAAATGCCAGATTGGAATGTCCTTCCTCTCTCCTTCAAGCCCCTTTCCCCTGGGAGTCATTCAGTTTCAAGTGCTGACTCAGCTGAGCTGAATTTTCTCCATCAGCGAACACCATGAGGAGCAGGGCAGCTGGAGGAGGAGCCCTGTTCCAGGCAGAGTAGCAGCCCCTGCTAGAGCTCCCAACAAAACATCTTTGAAATATCTTTCAGAGGTTTGTCAGCATGCTTGGAGAAACAAGCAAACTGAAAAGTCTCTTAAATAATTCTTGCAGACTAATGAACAAATTTGATGAAGATTTGGCAGCTGTTCCTAATATTCCCTGTAACTCGGAAATCTTCCCAGGCAGGTCTCTGCTCTGTATAGGAGACAGTGCCCTCATAATTAAACGATGAATGAAAGCAAATGTACTGATGAGCACATTGGGTTGTTATTCACATTGAGGCAGCACAAAACGAAATTATTCTTCTGCAATCCCTTTGGGTTGTGCTCAGGGTTGTGGACCCTGGGTATATCAGAGGCCATGAGAGGTGGAATCTGAATTATGGTCCTGTGGCCCCTGGAGTAGGCAAATTCCCACCCAGCTCCCCTGGGTTGATCATTATTATTATTTACAGATACAGATTTCTTAACCTGTATGTGTGCTCTCCTGCAGTGTAGCCCCATCAGCTTGCTCGTGCTACATTTCTGGTTTACATTTAAAAAAAAACCTAAAATTGTTTTGTAGAACCTGTATGTGCTCTGATAATTTTGGGTGTTGAACTTATTCACTTCAAATTTCTTCTGTAGTAGCCAGTATTTAATTAAGTAACATGAATCATAGAGCCCTGGAATGGTTTGGGTTGGATGGGATCTTAAAGCTTATCCAGTTCCAGCCCCCTGCCAAGGGCAGGGACACCTTCCACCAGACCAGGTTGCTCCAGGCCCTGTCCAGCCTGGCCTTGAACACTGCCAGGGATGGGGCAGCCACAGATTCTCTGGGCAACCTGTGCCAGGACCTCACCACCCTCACAGGGAAGAACTTCCTCACATCTCATCTTAATCTCCCCTCTGTCAGTTTAAAGCCATTCCCCCTTGTCCTGTCCCTACCTGCCCTTGTCAAAAACCCCTCTCCACCTTTCTTATGAACCCCTTTAGGCACTGGAGGCTGCTCTATGTTCTCCCTGAAGCCTTCTCTTCTCCAGGCTGAATGACCCCAGCTCTCTCAGCCTGCCCCCATAGCAGTGGGATTGCTCTGACCCAGATGCAGGACCTTGCCTGTGGCCTTGTTGAATTTCATGAGGTTCACACTGTTCCACCTCTCCAGCCTGTCCAGGTCCCTCTGGATGGCATTCCTTCCCTCCAGCATGTCAACCACACCACACAGCTTGGTGCTGAAATGACATTAAATTATTGTTGTCATTAGTTCATAAGTATGGAAGCTGCTGGAGTTTAAATCCTGAAATTTTGGAAGCTGAATTTTTTGGAGCGGGCCACCTCAGGCTTCCTGAGCAGACAGATTCACATTGCTGCGTGGATACTATGTGATACCGGCATCAAGCAAAAGGTTTAATGTTGCTGCTGAATTAGCTGAAAAAACAACAACAGGCAGAACAGGAAGGGTAGCTTCTAACGGATGGAAAGTCACCTTGATGTCTGAGAGATTTCAGGCTGGTAGGATTCAAAATAAAGCCGGTCCAAGGAGCAGAGAGCAGTGAGTGAACAGACAGTTCTTCAGAAACGGGAACCATCAGCAACAATTGCTGTTTCTGGTATTGCTGTAGATAAATTGAGCAAGTTAAATCAGGGAGAATATAAAGGTTTATTGAAATGCACTGGAGAAAACTGGTACAGAGGACCAAATACAGATTAGCTGCAGAAAAATGGGCTTTCTAGGTGAATATGACTGATTCTTCAGAATTTTGCACTAAAACCAATGTCTGGACAGTCTTTTTTTGTATGCACACTAAATGCTATGTTGCCAAACGCTTAATATGACTTGGAAGCTAAATCGCTAGGAAGAGGTTATTGCAATGGGTAAAAAGGATTCTAGGCTTGTCCTGGATTCAGAAAAAGAAATAACAAGAAGAAAACCATCCTGCTGTTGAGCATCGCTGGGGCAGGCAGAGGGCATGATTTTATTTTATTCTGCTTGTTTCAACTGGGCATTTGTACCAGAACTGAACTGTCCTCTGAGATGCTTCCTTCAAGGCTGACGGGCAAGAAAACGTGGAATACAAATAGTAGTTTTCAAAAGACGTGGAGAACAACCTTTTTACTGTTGGAATTGTTACACTATTGTCTCGTGGGCCCTTACTGTGCGCCGCAGCATTATAATCTGTTGTGTTGTTATACAAAGAAACACCCAACACAGATAACGCTTTATTTTAATCCCAAGACGACAAGGGATAGATTTGTGATGGGTTATTTGCACCATATCAGTCATAAAATTCAGATGCTACTGGACTTGCTGCAGGAGGCAGCTCATAGCAGTGCAGCTGTACAGCAACACCACTGAGAATTAGTGTTTTAAAAGCTATTTATAGGGAAATTGTCTCTTGCCTGTCTCATGGCACAAAGCAGTGTGGCAATTCTACTGAAGGGTTTATAAGGTTTAAGGAGAAAACTTGGTGAATCTGCTTCTGAATTGATGTTTTGTTGTATGGTTGGTTTGGAAGGCAGTAGTTATCCTGCTTGCGACTGGACATATTTTTGTAAAAGGAGCTGAGGAAGTCTTTGTGGCTACTGTGCTACTGTTCAGAGAATCACATCTTGATGGCCTCCTCTGGACTCGCTCCAACAGCTCCATGTACTTATGTTGGGATTGCAAGGGAGGTTTCATAAGAGCAGAGTAGAAGGGGAGAATGCCCTCCCTCAGCCTGCTGGTCACGCCACAGGTGGTGCAGCCCAGGACGTGATTGGTTTCTGGGCTGCAAGTGCACGCTGCTGGTTATGGGGAGCTTCTTCTGGACCAGCACCCCCAAGTCCTTCTCCTCAGGGCTGCTCCCAGTCCAGTCTGTGTGTTCCCTGTCCCCGTTCAGCATGACAACCTCTGGTGGCAGTGACAAAAATGAACAATCACTGTGAAAACCTGACAAATCTTGTGCCTGAATCTAAGCTTTGCTCTCTGAAACACCGCATACAGCAGCATAACACAATGGTTTCTACACTAACAAGGGTCAGTATGATCCACATTTGTGGTCCTTTCCTGTGTGACCTTTCCTGTTAGCAGTCAGACTCCCTCTGGCTGCTGGGTAATTCCCTCTGCTCATGGAGAGCTGCAACACAGGGACAGAAGAAAGGACAAGAAGAAAAAGCCATAACAGTAGGGAGAGCTTGAAAACAGTGCCCTACATCAGAATAAGACATAGTGTAAAACCTGGAGGAGTTCAGAACTTCACCATTAATTTTCCAATGATTTATTTTAATAACTTGAAAGCTGGGAAAGTTTGCTATTTTAATAAAACCAGAGGTTTCCTTCATCTGCTGTCTTTTCTCGCTGGAATATGAGAAATTGGATGCTAATGGTATGTGGATGAACCTAACCTGTTACAGGGAAACTCTTTCTTCCTGTAGGTATTCTGGCTTGGGGAAAATTTTCCAGAAACAGCCAACCTGTACCTGTCTCAGGTCTGTCTCCTCCTGCTACTGTCTTGAATAACAGTAAACTAAAAAAAAAACCCATGGTAAATAAAAGAAAAAGGCTCAAACTTACAAAGTCTCCCTTCCTTTACTTTTCCCTATCCCCAGCAAAATTAGAAGAGACCAAACCAGTTGAAGCTGTGACAGGGAATGATATCACAGCACCTCCCAACAAAGAGCTTCCTCCCAGCCCTGAGAAGAAGACAAAGGTAGGTGTTTCACATTCAACATCTTTGTTTCCATGGCTTTTATTTTTGCTGGCTTTTCTGCTTCTTAAGCTGTGGCAACACGAGTTCTGTTTTCTGAGCTGCCATTTGCGAACTGTTTTCCTGGAACAAAGACATCCAGTTATGAAGTTGCAAACAACTAAGCCTGTAGTAAATGTGACTGAGAGGGGATTTAGTAAATGTGTGGTAAGCTTTGTTTAAATTAATGCTTTGGTTGGTATTGGTGGTGTAGAAGTAGTAAACATGTATGGCAATGCTTCTGCTACACTGGTACTCTCCTAGTTGTTTACTACACATTTGTTTGCATTACAGTTAGCATACAGAGATGCTGCTCAGCATCTGATGTTCTCTTATTTTAGGGCTGTTTATGAAACATGAGTAATACCTGCTTGCAGCATTCAGCAAAATCTAATTCCAGATTCTTAGAGCGCTGGTAGGGGGAAAGGGTTCTGGGTCCCCTCAAAGGCAGCGGATGTTTGACCACTACAGTTGATCAGATGAGGATTTAGAGCTTGCAATCCCTGTGTGCATGTAATTGGAAAGCAGTGTCCTGTGTATTGCACGTAGGACTAGATGCCAGAACAACCGATTACTAATCCCAGCTTTACCAGTGATTCCTTCTGTTGCTTTAGATGTTGCTGAAATAAATCCTGTTCGCTTTGAATTGAATGGCAAAACCTCCTTGGGCCCTGAAGGCAGCCTCTTCTGCTGCTTCATTTGGTCTTTGTTACACTCAGAAAACAGAAAGCTAAACTTTTTTTTGTTGTTATTTGATTTAAAATTTCTTTTTTATGTTCTTGCAGCTCAGTGTTTTGGTTTACAATGCGCTATTTTTTTGTTGTATTTTTTGTTTGTCTTTATACTGGATTTTGCTTTTTGATAAAACACAAAGCCTGCCATATCCACGTCATCTACAAAGCCTGCAGCAACGAAAGCCAGGCCCCTGTCCGCTACCAGCCCCAAGGGGCCATCCTCTGCCACGCCTGGCCTAAACAAAAAACCCACAAGCCCTACTGCAGGTCCTACTTCAGCCACTACTACTAAACGCCCAGCCACCAGCACTACACGTCCCTCCACCCTAGCTCCAAAAGAGACTAAACCAAAGGTAAGAAACTACTTGCTTTTGTGTGGGAGCTCCGAGAACTTATTTACATGTTAAATTACCAGCTGTCTTACCAAAGAGTCAAAACATAATTGGAGTGCTGATCATTGGAGGGTAAGATCAGGAATGTGATTCACAGTGTTATGAAAGCCTCACTGTTATTAGTATCAGCTTCCATTAACCCACTTATGGCATAGGGTCCCAAGCATTTAATTGAGCTTTAAGGTCCCTTCCAACCCACTCTACTCTGATTTTGTGATTTCTACCCATTACTAAAAGAGGAGGGTTTTTTAAATACAGATACACTACAAAGATAGGATAACTCTTAAATCCAGACAAGAGCATGGGAAAACTGAATGGAGAGCTTCTGTATTATGGAGGGGGGGAATCAGTTTGAACATTTCAGTATTTCCCACTTATTGTCTCTTTATGATGTCTGGTCATTATAAAAACTGTACAAAGATAACTGATAATACACTTAACGTGCTTAGGAAATATTGGAGATTTGTAATTCTCCAATAAGAGCAGATTTGTGAACAGTTCTTAGTGTTTCATCTTGAAGCTAATGAAGTTTACTCTTTAACATGTAATATTCAGAGCAGGAAATGTCCCTTGAATATTCCCCACATTAACATGTGATATTGTAAAGAAAAAGAATTCAGATTGAAAGGGAATGTGAAAATGTTTCAGAAGCTTTCAGTTGATGTTTACATGCTCTAGCATTTCTGCTAGACATTAAAGCTTAAATAACTGCTTTTGAGTGTCTTTTAAAACTAAATAAATGAAAATAACAAAAAGAGTATGACAGCACAGGCATAAATCTGCACTTTTTTTTCTGTGAACCAGTGTCTTTGATTTTAAGTTTTTGCAGGATTTTGAATCCCTTTTTGATGAGGTCAAAATCTCATCTCATTTGGTTTTGTACATTAACTCAGTATTTTAATACTCCAGAGATCAATCAGTTTACAAACAGGTGACTTTCCAGGGACAGACATGAAAGAGTTTTCCAACTGACGAATGAACCACAGACACTTAATTTGTAAGTTCATAGTGTTTTAGTGAATGCCTCCTTCGCTTAGGAAGCATTTCTACTCATGAACGAAAGAAATCTCTCTCAAAAGTATTGCTAGTGGACTGATCTTTTCCATTTTGTTCTGAAAACAGAACCTTGTTCACATCTGTAAATGGCCTCCAGACGTTAATTCTGAAATTACGGGAATTCTGACACTCAGCGGGGTTTGTGCTCTGTGACCTGCATTGAATATAGTCACTTCTGCATGCCTTAATTATATTTTTTAGTCTGCATTATACTGTTCCAGCAGCATCTAGCCTATGCATTTAAGAATTTAAACAATTTCAATTTATTTCAGGCTTTTTGTTGGCAAACACTTTGAAGGTACTGTCAGTGAAATACTGCCTTTAATGTAGCCTGTTTGTTTTCAGGCTGCAGATGCGAAGACCACAGATAAGCGGACCTCACTTTCAAAGCCTCCGACAGCTGCCACTTCTAAAACTACTGTTAGGAGCAGCCCTGTTGCTCCTAAGACAACGGCAGCATCACCAGTTGCTGCAACTGCTGCTATGAAAAATACTGCTACTTCTCCACCGAAGAGGCCAACATGTAAGTATTGTCTTGGTTTTTCTTCGAGGGATCTTTCTTTCTAACCAGCTGCAGGTTTCTGTTTGAGTAGCACCATTAGTTCACTCTGTGATGTCTTTCTCACGTATTCCAGGGTGCTGACTGCTTTTTCCTGTGTTTAGGTCATCCCATGGCCTTGTCAGTTTATTAAAATTAGTCTCTGGTAAACAAGCTTGTGATCTTCAGTTCAAAAGGAGAAAAAAGAAGGAAAAAAAAACCCAACCTTGACATGTAGCTATTTTTGAGAAGCCATAGCTCCTGTTAACCAGTACTTCTGAGAGGCGTAGCCCAGCCTACCTGTCAGTCAGGAGTTGACCTGAAACTCAGTGATAGCTGAAACATCAATCCTTTTAATACAACACACGACAAGATCCTGTGCAAAGGCACAGAGACCATAGGTCAGATATTTTTTGCCTCTTCAGGGCCTCCTTCTTCAAAAACAAATCTGAGTGATCTTCAAGGACAACTTGGACCAGCTCTGTGTGATTCAGGGTTAATACAATTACTGAATGGGATTGATTAAAGAAAAAGGATGCTATTACCTCTAAATTTTGCCATAGTAACAGTTAGAATAGGCACTAAAACCAATTTAAAACTTGGGGAAAGCAAATCTGCAGAAGAGAACTTGAAGTACTCAAGCTAGTGCATCTGAAGAACAAATAAGTTTAAACAGAAGTGAAGGCTTTTTACTAGTGCACAAAGAATTTGGAGCTGAAATCACCATCAGCTTTATCAGAAAACTGTGTCCCACCCCAAAAGAGAGAACTTCCCATGAGTTTAACACAGTCAGTGTGAAACGTCAGCAGCATATTAGCATCTTGAAAATGTAGTTTTCACTGGAGCTTGAGAGATTTAATGTCAGATTAAAATATAGTTAAATAATCTCAAGTCTTTTCCAATGACTAGACCTCATTGGCAAAATTTGCCAATAAACATGTAAAACTAGTAATATGTATTGCTGTTTTGTTCTATGAGTCCCAAAGCATGAATTCATAATCCATCTTTCCCAAAATAATAGTAACGTTTTAACTATGTTGGAATATATCAGGCTAGATGTACATTCCATACGTTGTGCTCTAGGGGAAGATATAATTAATCAAGTGTGGAGGAAGTGTTGCACCTTCCAAAAGCCATGGATCTTCACTGATCCTGTGGACATCCTTGTAAAATACATTGTGTGGTCTTTTAGGCAAACTGTAGCCCAGAATGCTTAATATGTTTTAATGAGTTTGGTTAATTTTCCTTCCAAAATTGAGGCGTAAACAAAGACACATTTTCTGATGACATTTGAAAAGAGATGGAGTCAATGATGCAGAGAGGCAGGAAGGGTGTTCCAAGCGGCAAGATGTACAGATGAAGAGGCTTCTGCACCAGCAAGGGTGGTGGGATGTTGCCAAAGTACAGTGAGAACTGGGTGGGCGAGGGAGAGATGAGGTCAGCTGGAGAAACTCTGTCAGGAGCTAAAGCTGCTTTGTCTGAATCTGGAAACACAGAGGAGTCATGAATGGTAAAAGAAGGGAGCCTTATTTTGGATGAGGAGAAAGCAGTGGTGTGACAGAGGGTGAAGTGTTGGGGTGTCTAAAGGGGAATTGCAATGAGCCAAACAGTTCAGTTTAGGTGGAACATATGCAGCTTCAGCTAGATGCATAGATGGAAGTGGTGGAGACCTGGATCTCTTCAGAGCACAGTTTCTCGTGACACTGCATTAAGCCAGATTTTATGTTTCTGGCTAAAGATGGGATCTCAGAAGGCCATCTGCTCTTGCTTTTCATGTGTCAAAAGATACTCGCTTTGTCATGGTGTGCTCAAATGTTTAGTCATTCTCACTACTCAAAAGTACGTGTATAGTGATTTGTTTTGAAATAATATGGTTTCACTTTTTTAGGTATTATATGTCAGTCATTCTCTAATGAATGAGTGTCATGGACTATGTAAGGCTTGATTTTTTTTTTTTATTATTATTGTTTAATTAAAATATTTCTTTTTAGTTTCCTTCTCTCCTTGTGAAAATTACTTGTATGTTTGTACAGGATGAACTCTCTGTCTTTCAGATCAGAAGATCAGTCTTTAACCATTTTCCCAGTAGCTTTATCATTCTCCAGGTTTTCAACCTCACATGCTAATAACACGGACAAAAATGTTCCAGTATTTGGCTCCCCACTGACACGAGTAGCAATGACATCTCTATATTAAAGTAACGTATTAGTCCTCTTGCCTTTACATAAAACAAAGTCTGTTCCGGCCGTACAGTTTTCCCAATTAAAACTGTGGTCTCAAGGAATGAGATTAGGTTGGTTTGACAGGACCTTTTTTGAAGTGTTTGGTATTAATTATATATCTATCCTCCAGGCCTTATTAAATTATCCAAATGTGTTTCATCTCATTAGCTAGTATCTTATCTGTGGTGTTTAATTGAATGCTTTTAGCAAAGTCAGAATGGAGTGATCCATGCTAACTTGGCCTGTAGGTATCTGCCTCTTTCGCTTGCTCTATTCTATATTGGTATTCCGTAAAGTACCCTGACAGCTACTTGGATTTATCTAAAAATCTAAGACTGTTAATGAAAATTAAATATTAGAAGACGGGGGGTTTCATAATTTGTAACTCAGATTTTTCCATTTATTGTTTGCTTTTAACGTTGTGTTTCTTTGGCTACTGAAGTGAAACAGATTTTAGCCAGAGTTGCTCATTACTAATAGTAAAAAGCTACAACTTAATTATCAAAGAGCTCCTTAAAATAAGGTTCTAGTTACATTTTTCAGTGTGTGTTTTTTGTCTTGATCAATTCTGTGTATAGTTTTCTTCTGCTCTGAGAAATACAGATGTGTTTCTGGTTTGCACTGTCCTCTACCTATGTGAAATGTAATCAGGTCATGATCATTGCAGTTTGCCCAAAGGCGTAATTTAGTTTAGTGATTGATTTTTGGTCTTATACAATTATAATAGGGACCAAAATATGTGCAGTAACTTGTGTGCAAGAAAAATTGGCATGGGTTAGAACCGATCTAGCAATAGGACCAAGGTTATAGAAGGACAACTGGGGTTCTGCTTTTGCTATTTGGTAAAGAAAGGAGCTGTGTTTTGGGGGTTGGTTTGTTGTTTGTTTGTTTTTTTTCTTGTTTGTTTTTTTTTTAAAGAAATTGAAGTGCAGTGAGATTAAAATAGTCTTACTGCTGTCTGATTCAGCAAGTTATTCTAAAAAAAATATTTTAAAGAAATTATTTTATTATTTAAAAAATCCCCTTTTATTGTTTGGCTGGGCAGGATGTTGGGCCATCTAGTCTTGGGTCACGTTTTGTCAAGAAAGGTTGGACTAGATCATCCTTGAGGTCCCTTCCAACCAGGGATCCTAGGATTCTGTGAAGCGCAAGCCATACCCCAGGTGTGTGGCATCACTGAGTGATGACTCTTTAGATAAATAGATCTTTTTACTGGAAAGCATGAGTGGGATTTGCTGTTACAAGGAGGACCTCAGCCAGGTGTTTGAGGAAAGCAGTTAATTCTTTCTTCCAAGCATTATGTTTGAAATGGGGCCTGTGAGTAGAGAGGACCATTGGTCTGTGAGGAGCTGCAGAGAGACCCTAACCTCAGGGGAAGCTGTGTGACCCCAGGCGTCTCATCTGTGCAAAATGGCTTCCACTTTGAAATACTGACAAGTATGTTTTGTGTTGGGCAGCCATCAAGACTGAGGCAAAGCCTGCAGATGCCAAGAAGACCACTGCAAAGTCACCATCAGGTAACTAACTGTTCAGTTCCCATCTAAATCAAATCCTCCTGTTAGGGGCTGTGTTGGTCCTATCTTTAGGACTCTGAGGAAGTTTGTATAAACGGCCTCTGACCTATCTTTTTCCCCTTTCCCTCCAACTATGGCTGTGATCATTGCAGCAGACTTGAGCCGCCCTAAGAGTGCTACTGGAAATGCAGTAAAAAGCAGCACCACCACTTCTACCACCTCCGCCAGCGCACCTACTTTACCTGGAGTAGCCACCAGTCGTCCCAAACCCAAGCCTGCTGCAACCAAACCCACCACACCCTCTACCACAACAGCAGATGCTAAAAAAACAACTGCTAAGGTTCCAGCTAAACCCAGCAGCGTTTCCAAGCCACCTCGCCCGACCAGCAGTGCTTCTGCTCCAGATCTGAAAAATGTACGTTCCAAAATTGGATCAACAGATAACATTAAGCATCAGCCTGGTGGAGGAAAGGTGAGTTTCTTCAAACATGGTAACAACATGTGCGTTGGAACAGTAGCTCTTAAGCATTAGGGGTGCTCTTTGCTAATTTTGGTGGCTGTGTCCTCACTGCTCTTCTCATTTATGCTCTGCAGAGCTCCTCTTTGGGTTCTTGGTTTATGCACAAGGCATTAACAAAGCAGTGATAGTAGCGTACAGAAGGAATCCGCTTTAATTAAGAGCCTTCATGGTGTTTACTGGCATACGTACAGGAATTCAGAATTCTGTGGTTCTGTTTTTCTGTTGTACTTCCTGACATAGGAACTAGTTGGTATTGATAGCTCAAAATCTTGTCTATATTCCAAAACCTTGCCTGAACAGAGGATTTGAATCTGCTGAATGGTACACAAGGTGGATTAATGCAGGAAATCTGGATTCAGGAGCAAGTTCCACAGCACCTTTTCCAGGTCTAAGAGCAGGGGAGCTATTCAACTTGCCAGGCCTAAAGCTGAAATGAAATGCGTCTCTCTGTGTGGCTTTTTGGATAACCCCTGGTGGCTGCAGGAAGAGGGTGGTGTTGAATGATCTATAGGGAGAAGCATGTACATTGTACTTGAGGCTCTCAGCCAGTAAGGGTCTTACATTACACTTTCACTGTGAATATCTACCATGTAAATGGTAAAGGTTTAGGGATATGCCAGTATCTCTCTTCTGAGGGTTTAAATTATTTTGTGGATACGCATAATCATAAAACCTTTATTGGATATTATATAACAGATACACTCATTTTTGCCTGACCAAATATGTTAGCAGCTTGCCCGTAGTCAGAGGGCTTTAATTTCCACGGAGTGGAACAGATTTGCCCACTTATCTCTGCTGCAGGTCTGTGATAATGAATAACTTCAGTCTCATGCCAAGAGAGTATGGCTCATGCTGGGAGCCTTAATCTCCTCTCAGGCACATTAAAGTCAAGGGCATCCTTGGGCTGTGGTGGTATATGTCACAGACAGCATCAATATAGCATGGATTTATTCTTTGGAGTTAAAGAGTATCATAGTACAGTCCTCAGAGCCTAGGCATTTAGAGGACAGAAACTTCCACTCTTCAAAATGGAGTTTCTATAAATGACAAAAAAGTCTGCTGAAAAGCAGGAGGGAGACCCTTTCTTGTACTGTATAGTGTAGCTTGAAAGCAAACAGAAGTTAAGAAAGCCTACTGCCATCTGCTCAAAAAGAATAGAGAAGATTGTTCTGTTATTTCAAATTGTGCTAGTGGCTCTGAGGATTGCAGAGCTTCTTAGCTTACAGGGTTATTGTGGCAGCTCAAGGGAATTTATTTTTACATTTAATTGTACTACACTTTATTTTCTAAGTGTTTTAATGGAATTGTTAAATCCCAACAATTGTACTTTTAAGAAAATGGTACTTTTTGTAGTCCTACTTATGCAGAGATGGTTTTAGAAGCTGAAAATGTCATAGAAGTGCTAGGGTTTTTTTGTTTCCTGTTCTTTTGCTGGTAGGCTAGTGAAATACAGAATTTATACTGACACAAACCCCACCCCCTCACCCCCCAAGAAATGCAGGTTCTGCTGCACTTACATGGATCTAGATGAGTAGAAGAATGGATGTTCTCAGGTAGTTGCTGAATTTTTCTAAACCCTGGATGTTTTCATTCAGTTTTCTGCTTAGCTGGATTAGTAGGTCCACTGGCATTTGATTAGTTAAAAACTGTATCAGAAATTGATCTCAATGCCCGAGTCAAATCAGTGTGGGGGTGTGAAATCAGAAAAGAAAGCACAGTGTATCTGTATCCAGCTGAGCTCTCAGACCTCAAAGACAAAGAACATCAGCCAGTGGTGTGTGTTTGCCTCTCAGATCTGTACAACATCCTCCCTGTGAAGGAGTTGTCCTGCACTGCTGTTGGGTTACTAAAGGATTTGTTGTAATTTTTTGGCAGAATATAATGGACTGGGGTCACTTGAAGACTTGCCAGTGTGACTATTGGGGAAATGAGATGCCAAGGAAGGGCATCGACAAGCTTTTTGAGAAATGGAGAGCTTAATTATTGCTTTGTGACCCCTGGTGCCTGTTTCAATCTGTGTCTGAGTGATGTTGCCTCCCTTCCACCCCCTTAGTTTTTATTGCTCCTGGGCACAGGATTATACTTTGCCTGAGAATTACAGCATGTGAGAAGTTCTCCTGGGTCATCTGCTCCACTGAGTTTATCTGGATAGCTTGTGTTCCTGTACTCTCCTGCCCACAGTTTTGCTTTTGCTGGTTGAAATCATCCATTTGTCTCCATCTAGGGGAAAATAGAGAAAAGGCCAGAATCAGCCGCTGCTGCACGAAAGTCTGAACCCAATGTGGTCTCTAAAATGGCTACTACTAAAACAACCGTATCAAAAGAGGGTGCCCCAAAACAGCCCAATGGGAAAGTGAGTTTATTTCAGACTTTTCTCTGTGGAAGATGAAGGACAACATTTCCATTTTGAGTCACTTTCCCTTCTCTTCAACTCTTCTGCTTTCTTCTGTCAGTGTCACTGTTCCTTGCACAGACACTCTTCCAGTTTTTTCTTGTAAACTCTACAATGTTCTCAGTTAAACACATTCAGAGATCACTGTCAGAGGTATCTTTTCCATGCCTGCTGTGTGTAAATGTTTTCAGAGCAGTGTCCTCCATTCTCACTTTTAGACAGATAGGCTTAACTTTTGTAGAATCATAGAATCAGAATGGTTTGGGTTGGAACGGACCTTAAAGCCCATCCAGTTCCAACCCCTTACCATGGGCAGGGACACTTTCCACCAGACCAGGTTGCTCCAAGCCCCATCCAGCCTGGCCCTGAACACTGTCAGGGATGGGGCAGCTGCAGCTTCTCTGGGCAACCTGTGCCAGAGCCTCACCACCCTCACAGGGAAGAATTTTGAGTCAGAGCTTTCCTTTCTGACCAGTTCTTCATACACAGCACTAGTTTATAACTAGGAAGAGCGAGCCTTAGTTCAACAGTGCCTGTTCTACGATTGCAGACTAACAAAGGCTTAGTATTTTTCCTGCAATATTTCCAACCCAGTTGTATCAAGACTCCTTAACTCCATGCATTAGGTGGCCACCATCTGATGGGTTACTCTGAAGCTGGTGTGACATGGTATTTCAGCATGAGAGAATGAGGAATGAGGAGGGAGTGCCTGCAGTGCTCGTTTAATTCAGATATTATCAGGCAGAGCCTGTTGATGAATGGATGGAACTTGTGCCTCTAGAGAAGTCAGGAAACCACTATCTACTTCCACTGCATTAGTACGTTTTCAGAGCTGCTGTTGCACTGAATCCAGTGTTTCTGAACTGGCTAAGGAGCTTTTTGAAACCTGCTGAAGTGAGAATGTTCTGGTGATTCCTTTTGTGCTTCAAATTTATCACCTCTTTTTAAAAGTAGGATACAGCTTCTACCACGTTCTGTGCTGTGTTAAATAACGCCCAGACTAAACATGTGTTGTAACTAACCTTTGTAAACATGGGCCTCTTACTCTAACTCAGTTGCTACCTTTGTGGGTAAAAGCTCACTTAGTATACTCCTTTTGTACTTTGAAACAGAACAATTTTGATTTAAAGGAGAAGCAATTAACATAAGATTCATCTGATAAAATTTAAGTGAAGGTTTGACAACTTTCATCAGAAGAGTAGTTTCTCATCTGCCGCCCAGAGGGTTTGAAAGACATTACCCAAGACTGGAGCCAGTCCAGGCAAGTGAAGGTAAAGTGCAGTTCAGAAGTGCTCAGAAGGCTCAGAGCAGTTCATAGTGTTGTTGGAGGTGGAGCCATGGAGGAAGGAGGTAGCTGAGCTGGCTCTCCCTCCTCTGAGAAAGGTCTCACCAGAGCGCTCCTGAGAAGCTTCGCAGGGGACAGAGACAGCCCCAGCCCTTCTGGCAGGCAGGCTCCTACCTGGAGATGCTAACCCACAGATCATATGAAGAAGCGGTCTTCACAGAAGCGCTTAAGCTCTCGCACTAACACTGTCTGTGCAGCCTCTTGTTTCGTTCACTTGTTTTTCCTCACTCTCCTTCTCAGTTGCTTTCACACCTAATACTAAAGTTGGATTGAGTTTAACACAACTCTTTGTTTATCCATCATGTTAGAGCATCCACTCCAGCCTGCCATATGACAACTCTAACCAGTCCTCTTCCCTTGTGTTGTTTTCCATTCTGTAACATTCCAGGTCCAGATAGTCTCCAAAAAAGCGAACTACAGCCATGTTCAGTCCAAGTGTGGTTCCAAGGACAATATTAAGCATGTCCCTGGAGGTGGGAATGTAAGTATGGGCTCTGGGCAAGTTGTCTTTCTACTAACTCCTTCTCTTGTACTATGTTTTTTTATGTCAGTCTTAAGAACGCTCTTGTTTCAGTCAGAAAGGTGTAGCAGAGTTTCAGGGCTTCTGGAATTAATGTAGGCTGGAGAATTCTTTATTTTTTCCCGATGGGATGCTAGGGTGAATGTGTGTGTTTTGTTTCTTAGTGCTACGCATACACCTGACCTGTATCTCGTGTTTTATGTGTTATTTATTCATCACCAAATGTAGGACGTGCACACCATTGACCCCAGGAGTTAGCTTGCTGTGGGTTCCCTCTGCAGTCGATGGAGGCACCTCATCAGTCCTCTGACCTGTTTCAGATGTCTGGTTTTTCAGATGAAATCCACTGTGGCCTAGAAGTGCCTGTTACTCTTCACTGGCTAATAGGGCCTGAGTCAGATTGATTTCACTTCGTGTTTTGCAAGAAGGGACACTTTGGGGAAAAAAGGAGGAGAAGACTCAGGGGTTTAATTTTTGAGCTGCAGTTAACTTCTAAATCTAAAGGCCACTGTATCTCTGGCAGCAGGGTTGTGCTTTTTAAAATAGAAGGCCAATGGTGTAATGTCTCTGTACTTGGTTACGGGTATTATATTTTGACAGTGTCTAGAAAAACCAACCCAGTTAAATACGTAGATACACTATAGCTTTTGAAAAGATGACATAGTTTGGCAGGCTTGTTTCCTTGTGAGCAAATCTGTACTACCTTAACAGATCTATGCTAGGCTGTTTGTACTGGGGGTAGTCTGCAGAAGTACAAAGACTGGATGGTTTCAAAAAGACAGTGAAGTACTTAAGCCCAAGAAAGCTTCTTCCATTGATGTTTAAATATGCCAAGTTCCTGTGGAGTCAGGTTCAGCTATTGCATCTCATAGAATCATGAAAATACAGGTTGGAAGGACCTCAAAAGATCATCTGGTGGAATCTTTCTAGGCAAAGCATGACCCAGACTGAATGGCCCAACACCCTGTCCAGCCAAATCTTAACAGTATCCAACACTGAGGAATCCACCACTTCCCTGGGCAGATTATTCCAGCTGATTGTTCTCATTGTGAAGCATTTTCCTCTAGTGTCTGGTACGAATCTCCCTGCAAGTAACTTGTGCCCATCGCTCCTCTTTTCCATGTAACTCCTTGTAAAAAGGGAGTGAGTCTCTGTTATCTTTGTATCTACCCTTTAAATACTGGGACATGGTGATAGGGTCTCCCCTTACCTGCTTTTTCTGTAGGCTGAACAAGCCCAGTTCTCTCAGCCTTTGCTCGCATAGTTTTCTAGGCCTTGGATCTTTGTGGCTCTTCTCTGGACCCTCTCCAGTCTGTCTGTATCTTTGCTATATAGCGGGGACCAAAACTGAACTCTATTACCAGTGTGGCTTCCTCTGTGCCCAGTGACTGAGAGCCAGCATCAATGAAACTGCCTGCAAATACTCAATTTCTGGGGCCAGACGCTGTTTTGACTTAGTCAGTGTATTCTGTTTGATGTCTGGTTCAACGGATGCAAAAGCTACGTAGAACCTGCCTGTGCTGCAAACTGCCACTTGCCTTATGAAATATCTGTGTATTTGTCTAGCTGGCTGAACGTTTACATGACCAAATCTTCCATAAATCTTTGCAAGAGGCAACCAGCTCTGGGTACTTGCCAAACTCATTCCCTGCAGGCTGGTTTCCAAGGTGGTAAAAGACAGATGTTGAAGTCACACATGAAGTGTTCGTTTAACTAATCTTAACTTCCCATTGAGAGTTGCTGAGCATGTATCCCTGATACCCTCCTTCCCTTCCAGTTTGTGGATTCTTACAGTGGTGGGATTTGCCATCTTATTTGGTGTTTCCATGACTTAGCCAACACTTACAGGAATGCATACACGTGTGTATAGACCTTCCCATAGAAATGCTCATGCAGGAGAATTCTCTGTGCCATAGAAAGATAAACTGATGGTGAGACCATCACATCAATCAGGTGCCCTCATAATATTTTTTTAGCTATGTATCTTTCTGTTCCTACTGCAGATTCCATCTGGGTTTGTCACCCAGGTTTGGAACACAGACTGTTTGTACATAATATGTGGTTTGTGGCAGAAGTCCTTTTGGCTCTGCTGTTAACAGCTGTTGTAACCTCACTGCTCATGCAGTCAAAAGAGCTGTATTTTACAAGCAGCTTTAATTTTGCCACTCTTACCTTTTATAGCCTTTTAGTGGACAACAAGTCAAGCATATTTTCTTTTTTTTTTTTTTTTTTTCCACAACAAAGATGTGATTTCAATGTGGGGATGTTTTCTTGCTTGATGAACTACACATGTGAACTATTCTTCCTTCCAGTGAATCACCAAACCCATCCTTTCCTCTTTACTGTCCTGCCCTGGGGACATTCCCAACTCTAGGGGACAAGTGTGCCTGCTTTCATTTTCTCTTCTTCCACACCCTCCTTTTATCACTGTAGTTTTTCTCTTTGCTCAACTACATAAGCTTTTTACTTTGGGAATAAAGTGCTTATTATTTCTTAGTTCCAAATGCCCCCAAAACGGCTTCAGAATTTCTCAGTCTTCCAACGCCCCCAAGCCCAGAACAGGCAGCACCAGTGTGAGGAGACAAGACACAGTGACCAGTCTGGCCTCCTATAAAAGCACTTTCTCCACTTTTTTATCTGCTTGCTCCCTTTGGGGCACCATAACATTAGTGTCTTCTTTCAAGATGTTTTCGTGTTCAAATAATTACAGGGATCACTTCTGATGGAATACTTCCCAGTGTTTAATTCCTGAAATACACTGCTGATGGGGATGTCTGGAAAAATCCATTGTTCTAGTCTGTGGCTTCAGTTAAAGATTTTAGGAGTCCTGTGGACAAGAGCTGTGGTTAGTAGCAAATTATGATTCAGCTTCAGGGTTGTTCTGATAGTAGCAATGGACATCCTACCGCAGTGAAATGGTTTCCTAGGTGGTACACTCTGTTTGGGTACCCATTTTGCCTAATATCCACAGAGGTAATTTCTTCTCCCCTTCAAGATACCCAACAGGACTTGTTCAAAAGCAGCAGATACTGTTCCTACTCACATTATATTTGCCAGAAATATCTTGACATATTGTTAGGTTTCCTGGGTAAAAGCTTTTTGTTTTAGTATTTTCCCCCTCTCTTTTTAAAGAAAGCAAATGTAAAGAGGTAGATTTTACAAAGCACAGGTAACATATATGTTGTTGAAGATATAAAAAGGTGATTTGGAACATACATATGTTTCTCTGCCCTTTTGCTTGACCTGCTTAGATGGGTTGGGAAATGGTCAGAGACAGAAAATCTAGAGGGAGATGAGGATCACGCTTCCCATCTGAGCCTCTGTATCAAGCTTTCAGACCTAAAGTTTATTTCTGGCACCAGAGTCTGAATATTTGGCTCTACAAATGCAAGCCCAAGCTTTTAAACCCAAAACAACTAATGTTAGCAGTCTTACAAGAAATACACTTGCATTTAGGTATAATTGTTTGGATCTCCAGGTGAAATCCTGAGGAGTCAAAAGTGGGTATGTCTGCCCTAGCTGATAGCAAACATTGTTGTATTAAAATGCATTCTGTGAAATAAATTTAGTTTTATTCCAGTTCCAAGTAAACAAATACTTATTATAAAAGCTGTAGTCACTTTACTAGCAGCCCCAAGAAAATCAGATTTTGTAGCTGTGATCTCACCTTTTGGAGTGTTTGGTGTCACTGAGTCAGGGTACACAAACATGGAACAGCAGGAGGCTGAACTGTGCTGTTCTACTGATTCTGAGCAAACAAGACATCAGGGGTTTGACTCATCCATCTTCATAAGTACTCAGAGGATTCATGCTTCCTGTGAAATATGTATTGCAAATTATCATGGTAATTCTCAATGAGCTTTTAGAGTAGCGGGTAAGTGAATGAATTCTTGTCACATTCAGAAAGAAAGGTTTTCATTTTCTCTGCAAGATGATCTGTAGCAGAACTTTCTGTGCACAGAGGTGCCAGCTGGTGGTTGCTGGCACCACTGGGAGAGGTGAACCTCTTAACATTACTACCAAACCCCTCCAGCTCTTTCCCATGGAAGTTACAAGGTCAGCAAGGTAGAACAGATGACTGGAAGTTCCTTCAGGTGTAATTATCCTATGTTTGTATGAAATGAAAGCTCTCCAGGTAGTCAGCAAGAAGTTCACTGTGGAATAGAGGAGTTTTTCATCCACCTGGAGCTGCAGGAGGAATGTTAAAGGTGTCAGAAATGTGGCTCTGTACAACACATGTGGTCCAGGTGTCAGAGATGAATTTGGGGGGGGGGGCAAAAAAGACATCAAATCTGTGACATTTTGACTCCACCTTTGTCTTGCCACAGAGAAGACACCTCTCCCCAAGTTCAAACTGATGTCCACAAACACCACAGTGGAATATTTGGCTCATTGACTTAGTAGAAGGTCATTTACTGAGTCGTGTCTCACGATTTCATGAGACTCATGATTTCTGCATCACTGTACATTGTTTGTTTTTTGCTAATTGAAGGCTGTGCATGCCAGTATCGAGTCACTGGTAGAATGAGGTTAAAGGTAATAATACTGGGGAATAGCTTTCCCAGCTTCTGGTGTTCTGTCTTTGAGAAAGAGAGCTTCTTCGAGTGGCTCGTTCCATCTGGGCATGATGCTCCTTCCTGGGTCCTGTTCTCATCAGGGAGGAAAGACCGCTGTGAGGAGGCTGTGAGCAGCCTGACAATGGGACATGGGTCATCTGCATGTTAAAGATGATGGAGAGTAAAAGTTGGAATTGGTGGCATGTCTCTGGCCCTACAGGAAGAGCATGGCTGAGTGAACTGGAAGATGACATCCGTCCTGGTGACTGGACCCTGGCAATGGTCTGTGTCTTCAGGAGCAGAGCCAGTGCTGGGAAGAAACAGTCTGGGGGACATGGCAATGAGATTGGCTTTTTTGGCCCAAGTGCTTTTATGTTCCATGAATGTGCCATGAACTCAGGGCTGCCATTTCTAGTTACTGTCTATCTGTGAGTTTTATCTGGTCTTAATTTCTGTTAGCTCACATTAAGCACTTCTGGCTGGTACAGGCCTTTAAATAATGCTAAAGCTGACTGTAGTGTTTGGCACAGGGGCTGAGAAGTCAATAATGCAGTAGAAAAGGTTCACTAAGCGTGACCTGGTGTTTGAGATGGCCCTTTGGCTTCCCGATTCCTGGGAAATGCTTCCCTGTGTTGAGTTGTTTCTTTTTGTTTTCTCTGTAGGTGCAGATCCAGAACAAGAAAGTTGACCTTTCCAAAGTGTCCTCAAAGTGTGGCTCTAAAGCAAATATCAAGCATAAACCAGGTAAAAAAAAAATACCATTTCTTCACTATTTGTCTGTAGATATTACATGTCACTTAAATATAGTCCTGGACTCTGACTGAAATAATTGAAGGGGGTTGTTGCTCTCAGGGAGTATTTCTAGGCGGCTAGCTGCTTTAGTAATTCCTAGTGGTTTCATCAATGGAGAATGCCCAAACCTTCATCTGTTTACAGAGGGCTTTGGGGCTCTCTGAACATAGGTTTGCTATGGAAGGATAAAGTAACTCCCCTCCAGTTCTTCAGAGCAGATACTAGGGTCTTTTTAGCCTTCAGTTCCGTAGCAGCTCCTATCTTACATAAAACACTTTGGGCTCTTTCATGATGTATTATGGGATGAATGTGCAGGAATTATTTCTTCCCCGCTGGGAACACAGCAATTACTCTGTGTGAATTCCTGTGAATCTCGTGTTTCCTAACCCCACAATGACCAGCCCACCACTCAGCTGGAGCAGAGGCAAGGTACTGTGCGTATAGGCAGATTGTTGGAACTGTACCTTTGTAGCATCCTAAAGTATGGTCAGTTCACTGATTTTTGCTCATTTGTCTGTATCTGAGGGCAGTTACCTGCACAGGAGAACTCCTGGCAGTCAAACGTCCATGCATGAGGGACAAAGTGCACTGACCAGCGCTGGAAGCAAATGCTACAAGCTTGTGCTTGTCTGCTCCTAGGAGTTTCCTGCGCTCCTTCTGCCAGCCTGTTAGGTTGAAAGCAGTTCAGCCTTACACATTGAGCACCACGGTTCACTGCCTCCAAACGTGCTAAGGCTTTGAGAACGTGGTGCCACAAACGTGACCTCTGTTTATTCAAGGCTCTGTAATAACAGGCTCTGCACAACAGTAACTGCTCTTGTCCAAGGCTGATTAAAGCAGACTAATCCATCCATCTGCTGTCAGATATTTTAACTGATTTTGTTAGACTGAATCAGTTGGCTTCTATGGTTGGCCATGCCAAGCTTCCAGAGTGCTGAAGACTGAGTATTTGATGATGTTACTGGGAAGCAAATTTGTGCTTAGCAATACCGAGTGTTTTTTGAGAAACCTGCTGCAATATGGACTGCTCTTACAGTCTGAGTTGTTCATGGGAACTGCAGTATTCTAAATCTAGAAAAATCTTGATGGAAATCTACAGGTGTTTTCCTGACCTTCATATTCTGATGAACCTGAAGTGTCTATCCACAGAATCACAGACTGGTTTGGGCTGGAAGGGACTTTGGCAAGGGACACAGATAAGAGTGGGCAGCAGGTATTAGTTGCTGGAATCCCACCAGTGTGGGATCCAGTGGAAGTGGCATTTCACGCCCCTGCTGGGGCAGTCACATCTAGTGAGACAGTTGACCTGAGGCTATCTCCCAGCCTGTCCGTCTGGATATGCGGTGTTCCTTACCTGAGCGCAACTTCAGGGCTCTCCAAAGTACAAGGAACCACCCAGTCGTTCCTTGGTGGGGGGCTGGGAAGGGGATGGATCTCAGCGGGACTTTTCTGGAGGCATTAATAAACTCACTCCTACACAATCTTGTTCTAGGGGGAGGAGATGTCAAAATTGAGAACCAGAAGCTGAACTTCAAGGAGAAGGCGCAAGCCAAAGTGGGTTCTTTGGACAATGTGGGACACTTGCCAGCAGGAGGAACTGTGAAGGTGGGTGCAGTGAGCTCTCACATGTCAGGGTAGGATTTAAATTTGGTGGTGGTTCTTGTCCTGTAGCATCTCTACCCCCAGCCTTTTAGAACCATCCACTTATTTCTGTGGCCTCTGTTGTGAACCCGAGGAGTAAGTATGAGCTGAAAAGGAGCTATGAACTGTCTCAGTGGCTTACCTGAGTGGGCTTCCTGCAAGGTGTTACTCAGAGAGCTTCTACTGCCCATCTGCATCCTTCTTCTAAGAATCTGAAAGCAGGGATCACTCTGTAAGCTGTAAGCCCAGCGGAGAGGCTGCTTGTGACCCTTTCCCTGTTTTTTTACCCCTAGTAAAGCTGGGAAGACAGCACCTTGCAGATCTCAGGGGCACTTTTCAGCCTGAAGACCTTTTGTGCAAGGATAAGAAAGTATTGTTGTGCTTTCATTGCTGTGATTCAGTGCTTCTCCCCATGAGAACATCAACTGCCCCCAGCCTTGGCTGCACAAATTGCAGGTCTCATTACAGCAATGCAACATCTGTGCTTAGGGGAGGGAAATTACCCTGCTTGGCTGACCAACTGATGGATGTGTGGGCTTGACCTGTCACGCCACATGATGTTCAGAGCAATGCTGGGGATTCTCTTTAGGTAGTCACTAACAGCTGGGGGGTTTATATGAAGCACTGCTGCTTCTGAATTGGCTGGCAGCTCTGGAAGTGGAGAAAACAATCTGGTGAACAGCACCAGAACTGTTAAAAGTTGAATTAGTGTTTGCTCCCAGCAGGATAGGCAGAGGGAGGAGAAGGATACCCTCCTAAGCACCGAGTTCCCTCCGTTGCCCCAGCATTGTTTCGTTTGAGCACATTTGTGTTGTGGAAGGGTTCAGAATTCAGCCATCTTGAGCTATTGTGTTAAATGCTGTGTGAATTTGAAAGAAATAATTGCTGTCCTAAAGAGCAGCTCATGCAGCAGAATTCACAAGTCCATTTAGGACGCATTTAATCATCTCCATTAAAACAAGGCAAGAGGTGACTGCCAGAACATTTGCTGAGGGTGCATCAGGACTCTTCTATCTCCAGTCCTTTTTATAAACTTCAACCTGGCAAATGGGGCTCAGTGAAAAGCTGAAAGGAACTAGAGAAGCTGCTGCTCTGTTGACAGAGATTGGGAGCTTTCTGTCACAATGCCTGTTCCAGTTCACTGGAGTGTCCAGTCCTCACAGAATCAGAAGGAACCTCAGAAGGAAGGTGGGATGGTTTTGCTGCTTGTTGAGTAAAGCAGGTCCAGAATCAGTCCGTGGCGTTACTATCTGGTATGCAGGGAGAGGGCCTCATTTAGTCTTAGGAGAGTGCAGCAGCCTTATTCCCTGTGAATAAGGCTTTATGGGAAAAGAGCATGGGGTCAGAGCAGAGCTCCTTTGGGCTGGAGGGTGCCACCTCCTACTGTACTTCTCTGTACTGATCATGGCAGCGAGGGGATGCCCTGTCTGGGTGGGTTGCTCCTTCCCGGAATGGGGATGGGCCAACATAATATACTCTCTGCTTGCCATGCCCTGCAGTGTTGGTTGTGTCTTTCCAAGCAAGTCTGCATTACTCTCAGGAGGCTCCCACCAGCATAGTAGTCTCCTCTCTAATGGCAGTAGGGCTTAGCTCTTCTCCAAGGCTAGAAGTTGGTGACTCCAGGTGGGATGACCAGCTCTGGGAGCACAGAGCAGGACAGGATCTTCTCTAAAGACTCTGCTCCCAGTTCATAGTCCAGCATCAAGTGAAGATGCTGTCCTTTGTGCAAACAGTTTGGACTTCCAGTTTTGGGATCCACTATGTATTCTTTGGGTCCCCCAGTGTGTCCCCAAATAATAGAGGCTGCTCCACTGCAGTGTGCCCAAACCACCTGCTTGCTTTTGACCCTGTAGCATTCTGCTTTAGTCCGGTCAACGTACCTTGGTCTGCATTTGCCATGGTTGTGCTCTGTCACCAGGGCGTTACAGGCGTGTGTTTGGGGAGAGGGTGCCTTGCTCTGGCCCCTGTGGTCAGGGACACGGTGGCCATGCTTGGATGAGCTGGCAAGGAGCAAAATGCTGTGAAGAGCTGCAGAGCTGGTCAGGATGGTGGCTTCCCGGGGAGCGGAGGGGCTGCTTCCCGCTTCCAAACACCCCCCTACCCCCCCCCCCCCCCCCCATCCCTGCCTGTGCCTCGGCAACTGGGGAGGGTGGAGGGGGCTCCGGGAACCCGCACATCACCCCCCCTTCCCACATCCCCATCTTCTATTGACTCGTCCCTGTCGTCCTCCCCACCCCGTTGTCTCATTGTAGGCTGAGGGGAGCGCGGAGCCAGAGCAGCTCCCGCCAGCCCCTCAGAACGGAGAGGTGACAGCGGCCCAGGCAGGCAGTGAGATGCGGGAGAATGGCGTAGGGCCGGCAGTGCCCACTGCCCTCAGTGGTGGTGACCAAAGGGAAATTCAGAGCTTCGAGACTCAGATACAAGAAACAAGTAAGTGCCTGTGCCTTCTCTCTACACACGCTGCCGGGTGGGATGGGGAGAGCACTGCAGCAGGGCAGAGCAGCCGCCCCCCGGGCACTGGTCACACCGCTGTAAAGCTGAACCTTGAACTGTTTATATCGATGTCTGTAGGGTTGATTTGCCTTTTTTTTAATTCAGAAAATTGCCTTTTATTTTCCAGGCATCTAATGATGACATTATGGTATCGTCTTCCATTCCCCTCCTGTCCCCTTCTTTCCTTCTCCTTCCCCTTCCCCTTCTCACCTGCCCTTGTGTCACTGCAGATTGAATCTCACAAGCTGACGTTCCGTGAGAAGGCCAAGGCTCGAACAGACCACGGAGCGGAAATCGTCGTCTCCAAACCCCCCAACCTTTCCAGCAGCACTTCCCCCTGGCGTAGCACATCCATCAGCGAGAGCCTGGGCTCAGTCGCCTCCTTGTCACCGCTGCAACAGCCAGCTCCCCTTGCAGCGCTTTCTCAGCAAGGCTTGTGACCCCTCCCAGCCCTGTCCCCTGCCCTCTCCCCAGAGTAACACAGCTTGGCTCTCTTAACCCTGCCCCTGGCTTTAGGTGGGAAGGGGACAGCGTTTAGCAGGGCAGGCGTCCCTTTTCAGCCACAATGACTCTTCCAAGCATCCTGGAGGCTTGCCCCTGGCCAAGCGTGTTGGGCTCCAGTGGTCCTTTTCTGGCTGGAAGGGGCTTCCTCCCCCTCCATGCCTCATCCCTTCTGCTTTCAGGGGGATGCTGGTGTGAGTGTTAGTGTTGTGTGGCAGGAACGGGCATCTAGTTGACCTCCAGGCTGTGTCTTAGTGGCTGGGTAGAAGCGTGCCTGTGCTGCTGGTGGCTGAAGCCAGGCCAGAGTTAACAGGGATAAGCTGTGACCTTTCTTTCTGTCTTTATTTTTAAACAAGACAAGAACCCACCTTTCCCTCCCTGCCGCTTCAGTTTCTGCTGATCCTGTTTGATGATGATGATATATATGATACACACACGTTTAGGCTGTTTTAACTGTTGACTTTAACCTTTTATTCTTTGTGACGATGTGTTGATGATTTATTGTGCTACAAGCCCCTGCTAAGTTTCCTTTTCTCTTTCCTTCTTTTCCTAACCGTAGGACAGTAGAGACATTAACCGCTGCTGCAGTGCTGGCTTCTTATTGACATATCCAGCAATTGTAACAATTTTGTTGTTGGTTGTTTTGGGTTTGGTTTTTTGCTTTCTTGGGTTTTTTTTTTTCTTTTAATATTTTAAAACGATGGAGCAAACTCATGGGCTTAAGCCATGTCTGAAGTGAAAGGCTCGAGAACGTGTTAACAGAGAACTTGCTGTAACAGATCAGATGCAGCCTGTGTTGACTGCAACGAGACGTGTTGGCTTGATGCTGGTAAAACCTCTTGTAGGCCCAGGACGTGTTAGGAGGGTGAAGACGGTTTTATTTATTCACGTTCTCAGCCACAGCCCTGGGATTGAGCTTTTTCTGGCTAGGGCCTAAGGTCAGAGGAGAGGCAGGAGGCTGCTTTCACGGTGGAGTTGCAGGTTAACGCAGGCCTGGAGTTCCAAGGCCGAAGCGGGTCTGTGGTGCGCACGTGTGGTGTGTTAGCAGAGGCCGATGGGTGGGTGACCGTGTTGTCCGGCTGTGCAGGGCGAGGCCGAGGTGGGGAAGAAGGGAAAGGCCCCCTTTCCCCTGGGATGATGCACCCCGGGGTGTGCAGGGGGCTGGGAGGGAGCAGAGCCCTCGCTGGGGCAGGGGAGGCAGGTTTTAGTGCCAGGGAGTTGCAGCTCTGACTAGGACTAAGGAGATTGACCTACTCGTGGAGGTGTGAGCTCCTCGTTTCATGTTGCAAATGACACTAAAGAAATGTAAATACATTAAAACCAAGAAGAACAAAAGAGGAAAAAAAAAAAAGAAAACAGGAGTGTTCTTGGGTGGACAAATTAATTTAAAGAAAAAAAAAAGCAGCAACCAGAAAAAAAGGCGGAATAACAAAACACTGGGATCAAAGTGAACTGAACCAGACATGCGCTAAGGGGGGGCTGTCCAAGGAGGAGACAGAGGGAAGCCGGCAGCTTCTCGTGCTTGGGGGAATATTTCTGTGGGAAGCCGACAACGACACGATAACCCGGAATCTGTATTTACACAAAAAGATTCTTATTGCACTTGTATTTTTTATATTAAAGTTTGCATGATTTCTAATAAAATGGCATTAAAATGTACTAGTTTGCATCAAAGTCGTCTGCTAGTTTCGTAAGTGCTTTTTTCCTCTGAATACAAATTTAAATAAGCAATGCAGATTTGCACCTCAAAGGGGCGGTTATATATACCCTGGAAAACTCCCAGTGCTTCCCTTCCTCTTCCTCCTCCTGTTCCTCCCCACTGCACTCCTCCCCTCCATCCCACATCCCTTTAATCCCAAACCGGGGACAGCTGCCGAGCTGCTCTCTCCCTGCCCTCGTGTTGTGGCGTGTTGTGGCGTGTGGCCTTGGCCAGCACTAACCTGGCCCCTGTTGCAGGCCCGGCTCTTCAGTGAGAAGGGCTGGAGCTGGGGCAGGGGCCGAGGCTGGAAACCTCATTCCTCAAGAGAGCAGAGCTGTGTCGGGACGCTTTGAAACCCTCCGGCCAAGTCCCGTGGGGGTGCTGCTGCCTCCGACCACCCGTTCACCTGCATGCTGCCCTCCGGTATATATCACTGCCCTTTGCTGACGCTTCCTTCTTTCTCTTACTGCTAAATTCTAAACACCAGCTTGATTTTGTCAGTCTTGGGTTTGGTTTTGTATTGTTTTTTTCCAACACTTGAATTGAGGGGAAGTTTGGAGGAGAGGGACCGAGGTGAAGACCGATCCCCTCCCTCAGCAGGGGCTGTGCTTCCCCAAGCAATAACGCCGATCCACTCGGGGCTAGGGCAGGCGCCAGCTAGAGGGTCTGGTGCCCATTGTGAGGATGCGGTGCTGGCAAAGCTGTGCCTGGAGCCACGCTTCCCTGCTTGTGAGCAGCAAACGCAGGCTGGCAGCAGGTGAAGCTGACCCCAGGCTCACCGGCTGGGCAGAGGAGGTGGCAGTGGCCAGGGACCACTTGAGTGGCTTGAGGCAGGGACAGCGCAGTCTGGCAGCGGTGGTGGTTCGAGGAGGTCAAAGCCGAGATGTCGCGTTCCGCTTGCGCTGATGCCCTGGGGTGAGATGGCCGCGCGGAGGGAGGCAGCCAGGTCCTGGTCAGAGCTCAGGGGTGGCAGGAGGAAGGCAAGTGGCAGTGTTACCTGTTGTCTTCTGAGATTGCGAAAGCAGAAAATGCAAACACCGAGCCTGCTGCAGAGGGACAGCAGCGCCACCTTCTCCCCCTGCGTTGCTTTTATCTGCTGTCTTGGCTGCTCCTCAGTCCCGGGCAATGCTCTCAGGCCCATCTCTGAGCATGCACAACCCTTCCCAGACTCTGACACAGTTCAGCCGAGCACCAACCGGCTGCCCTGTGCTTCTGTGCCACTTTCTCTAACACTTGTTGTGCCTGTGTGTAGCTGACGAACAAATCCAGATCCACTCCTTGGCTGTGGTTTTTTTAGGACAGCGTCTTCAGGTTTCATACTGTTTTATTGGGGTTTTTATTTCATTTTAAGGAAACGGCTGTACATATTGCTAGCCCGGGAAGAGATTCATGTGTGGGGAAAACAGCTTTAGTTGCCTAATGTGGGAGACGTGGGAGTGAGCTGGTTTGTGCTGAGACCTTAACTGAGGATTGCAGGGAAGCTGCTGGCTGGGCGGAGCCAGAGAAGGAGCTGAATTTGATGTTGGCTTAATCTAGGGATAGAGGGAGCAAATTCTCCTGGATAAAAAGAGCTGTGGTCTGAATTAGATCCACTTGAATGTACACGTTGCTGTCCTGTGCTGCCCCTGCGGCTCCTGCAGCTGCGCTTGGCCTGATGCTGCTCTGGGGGAGGCAGGAGGAGGAGAGAGGGGAGGGTCTGGCATGGACAGGCAGGCTGAGGTCTTTGGTGAGCTGAGTCAGGGCCCTGCTGGATGGGGCACTGCGGCCAGCGCTTGAGCCCTTTGCTAAGCTTAGGGTCAGGGAGAGCGTTGGCTTGGTAGTGGCTGAGCTGCTGAAGTGAAGAGAACGCAGCAGGGAGGGCTGGGTGTGAGCTGCTCTCCGTCTTGGGCAGGCAGGAGGCGTCACCGCGGCCATCCTGGTTGCGGGTTCCCGGTGTCTCCACAGTTACTCTGGGGCTTGTTACACTGTCAAAGTACATTCAGGTAGCCAAGTTTGTGTGCTTGAGGCCACAGGAGCAGGAGCGCCCTTGGGTCAGCATCCTGACCGCAAACCGAATGTAGTTTCCTATGCTGACCCTCGCCATTGTCCCCCGCGTAGCATCGGGGTGTGAGTGGGGCTCCTTCTGTTTGTGTTCGGGCAGAAGCTCTAGTTCTCTTGGAGTGTGGCAGGAGCTTGATGTCGGTGACAGCCTTGGGGTGACCAGGGCTCCTGTGTCCTCCCCGCGTGTGGACGGGGGGGATGGCTGAGCCCATCCTAAGCTGTTCAGTGCTGGCCCTGCTAAAGGCCGAGTGGCAGCCTCCAGGCTTGGGGAAAATAGCACCAAAAGCCCTCCCGGCGCAGGGCAGGCTGCGAGCCGGCGGAAAGCTGCGATGCGAGGCAGCAGCAATAGCAGCAGGCGTGCTCCGGCTCTCCTTCCTCCTCCCCACCTGAACTCCAGCTCCGGTAAGCGTTTGCCTTCCGGCTCTCCCTCCCACGAGTCTCGCTGGCCACCAGCCGGTGGCTAGAGATCAGGCACCAGCCTCTGGTCTTGCACCCTTTGTTCTTGTCCCACCCCAGCATTCAGCATTGCCTGCACCTTTGATTACCCCATAACATAGGTACAGCGAGTAATGACGTAGTGGGGGAAATGGCCGTGGGGAGGGGTGGGTGGACTGAGAGGACAGTAGGGCTGGAGACAAGGGCTTGGGGCTGATCCTGGCTCTTGGCTCCCTCTGGGGTCTTGGGAACCTCTCTGCCTCAGTTTCCCCATCCGCAAGGTGGGGATGATACTCCTTTTACCTCACCGGGCTGTAGTGAGGAGTGAGCAGTGTGTGAAGTGTGCTCTAAATGTGATGTGTTCTTACTGTTTTGTGTCAGGATTGCTCTGCAGCGGCCCCATCTCCTCGGGGCGGTGAGTGCACTCTTGTGCCGGTGCATGGTGTGAGGCCTGAGACAGCTTTGGGAGCTGGGGAGAGGGCCGGGGCAGAGGCCCTCCTGCTATGGGGTTAATTCAGACTGGTTTGCTTCTGCCTTTCTCTTTCACCCTCCTGCGAGGGGCAGTACGGCCGTCGTCTCCTTAGCAACATTTCCTGACTTGATGTTGTGATTCTGACTATTGTAAAGGGTTGAAATAAAGCTTCTAGATGTTCCCTCTAAGCTTGGGCGTGAGTTTGTGTGCGGGTCAGGAAGGC